AATATTAAAGCAATGATAAATCTATCTTGTGAAAATAAGATTGCGAAGAATATCAAAAGTTGGCGTTTCGTCCCGGCTTCCACTACTGGACTCATCAGTAAGTACATTATTATAATTTCTTTCATTTAAAATTTTAATAAATGACAATATTAACTTATTGGATCAGTTTCAACTTCATTTAAAGGCGGTCCGCGTAAGCTCCCATACAACCTAAATAATCCTTGCGAGGCCGGAATCTAAATATTTCTCCTACAAATTATTATCCATTCCTTCCTTGTGATCATTTTCAATCATCGCACAACCTGATCTCCAATCTCTGGGTAAATTGCTTAAATGCATTGACCTAAAAAACGGAGGAACCTTAATTTCTATCACATCATTCCGTAACATATTACATATTATACATATAAAATTATGCAGAAAATGTATTGAAAAATAAAACTGTTTCTACACTTTGGAAAAAGAATTACATTATTTTCGATTGAATCAGATTATCAACGGCAATTTGAAATGGTCAATGACACTGAAGGAACAAGCATTTTTTCTGAGAGATAAAACATATCTTATAAGTGCACATGTGAAGTGTATAAAATTGATATATCGAAGAGTGTACATTTGCTCTTCTACAGTTATTGCGAAAGTAGTTTTCTTAAAAATTCTTTTTTACTTTTTATTGTAATAAAGAAAACATCAGTAAAATTTCAATATCACTTTATTTCTTGAATTACTTACAATTAGTCGTATACCGTATTCTGAGAAACGTTATTAGGTGAGTGTTTCAATCTCACGGTAATATCATGTGTTGTTTTGCATATAGAAACGAAATTAAGAAAATTACAATAAAATTGACGCTAAAAGAGAAAAGAAATGCTTAATCGATATATGGGAGAAGAGGGGATGAAAATATTCTCTTCCTTCGTAGTCGTATTCAAAAGCTCACAGAGAGATGAACTGCATCGATATCCAATATTTCAGTCTTAACAAGATTCTTCTGCTCGCTATAGGCTTGTGGCCGTACAAACAATCAAAACTTATTTATCTCCAATTCATCTTTCTGCTTAGTGTTTTAATAAGCTTTATTTTATTTCAAGTAAGGTAATATCTTAATATATTACTGTTGTAAATATAATAATAAATTGAAAGTTACAGCCATTATTTGTTAACACATTTATTAACATATATGTCGTGGTTTGTATGTTTAAACGTGACTATTATATATTGTCAATATTGTAATTATTTAGATGTAAGGTCTTTTCCTTTATTATAAAACTTAGAATCTAGATAACTTAAAAATTTTAATAATTTATTCAATGAAATTATATTTAAAAAAAGCTTGTATTAAAATATAATTTCTTTGAATTTTAGTTTACTGCATTTTTAACTATGAAGTATACTTTCGACCACGTCATTAAGATTCTTTCTACTGCTTCTTTCTTTACTACCTTCGTAATAAAATATATCTCGTTTGCTGTTAATATCGAAAATGTAAGTTAATTATGACAGACGTTTTCATTCCATTAGTGAGTAGATATTTCTAAAAAATATATTTTTATAATTAGCAAATTTCATTAGATAATGTAAATGAAATTAAACTGAACAGGTAAAGTATTTATTGACGAAACTTCAGTACGTATACAATGATCTAAAAGATGAATATGAAAACGTTATTATAGAAAAGTATAGCTACAATGCCAAATGGTACACGGTTATACTTACAAGTAATATAAATTTTTAGTTTTATATCAATATATATGCAAAAATTTATATAATAATTTTTTGTAACTTTTTGTAGTAGTTGCTGCTTGTTCCTTAACTATTTTTATTGCTGCTCAATTTTGGTCAAGTATCATCGAGATCGCTTTATCGAGAAACATATCTCAGCCTCGTAATTTATTTATTATAACGGAATATTTTATCGACCAAGAAAAACATTATTATTTAATTTTATTGCATACATACGCAGCTTTAAGCATAGGAGGTGTCATAGGTATAGCGACAGGAACGATGCTTATAGCATATTTGCAACATGTTTGTGGAATGCTTAGCATCTCAAGGTATAAAACAAACATAAAGAAACCCATAAAAATTCTAAATATAAACGTATACAATTATCTTGGATAAATCTACAAATTTTATTTTTAAAAAGCAAGAGTGATAAGCCATTTGATAAATAAATTCTTTATAGTTATCGTATTGAACGTGTAATGAAAATAAATATACAAAATACTACCTTAAAGAATGAAGATTTAATAGTTAAAGGACTAATATATGCCATTGATATTCATCGACAAGCTATGAAGTTAGTATCTATGTAGT